TTTCCCTTTCCACCAAGTGACTGATAGCCATTTAATTCCCTTAATTGGCTATATATAGTAGGCAAACTATGTCCTGATGTCCTGACAGTACAGCTCACACAAACCATGCTGGAACCACGCAGAGATCGTCTTTCTGCAGTAAATCCTTAGCTATGAACTGCTGGAAATGACCTTCAACATGTAGTATGCATTAGTTACAAGGTGTTCTAAAGAAGGGGGAAGGGAAAATAGAGATAGCCTTTCAGATGCCCATGTTAGGCTAGGAAAACAGCTCCAGGATGATTTAAGCACAATCACACTTAAAGCTGTCATGGCTTCGTTACCAAACTATCGCATGTTCACGGTTTCACATATCGAGCAATTTCCCAAAGTAAAATGGCAAGAAGAGACAAACTGATCTTTCTGAGTAGCTTAAGTGTACAGAAAACATGGTGTATTACCTGCATGGAATTAAATTTGTTTTAAAAACATGAAATGTTGAATTAGACGTGTTCTGCATTATGGTTACCTTTGAACAATTTTTTTTTTGCGCTAAAGTGATAAAACCAGTTTATAAACAGAATGCTTAATTATTTCCGTTCATTTAGGCATCATTAATAAAACTTTTCTCCACTTATAACTAGATCGAACGAAGTAGATGATTTTTTAGAATACTGAAGAAACCCACAAACCCTAGAGAAATCTTGAAGTAAACAAGCTTTCTTCCAATTATATACATTCAAAGTTTTCCATTAATCATCTACATATTAGTAAATCCCAAGAGAACTGGAAAAAACAGATCAATTCATTGGCTTACTCTAATTCAGCTTATATCAACAGAAAAGCATTTAGAGATTTAGAAACTTTAACGAATATATATGCAGGATATAGTATAGAACAGGCACTCAAATCTTCTGCACCTCCTTTTTTTTTTTTAAGATTTGTAACCAGACAAACATGCATCCAAGCGGTGGGAAATCCTGGTTTAACATTGATATTCAATGCAGTTATATATAAACTCCCATAGTAGAGGCACAGGCCACCTTCTTTGAGGTTTTTAAAATTAACTCATAATATAGAGTCCTTTCTATGCATCTATGGTTATGTGGTAGACAGGACTCAAAACTGTGAAACTGCCTTTCAGATCTCTGTGTTCATTTACTAGTAAATATACAAGCACTGCCGTAAAGTCTGTTCTGTATCAGATCATTCTGTGACGTGGGCTCTTTGTGCTCATTCATGTTGATCAAAACTAACACCACTAGGGCCACAATCAGCCTGCCTTCCAGATGTTTTTTTCCTCCCCCTACCTCCAGTATAGGCAAAGTTTTGGAATTAATAACTATGTCTTTCAGACAAAGACAATTTAAAGAAAATTGTAGCCGAATTGAACAGAGGAACTTTGGTTCTGCAGGGGGCAAGGGTGAGAAAGCAGCGCTAGAGCCACTACCCTGACTGAGACACCACATCAGAGGACTCCGACCTGGGGGCTGGGAATGCCAAACAAGAAGCACTTGTGCGAGCATGCATTAGTGCGTCTAACATTTATTACAAAGTGATCTCAAATTTATTTTTTTTTTTAAGTTTATTCAGTTGCTGTTAACAAGCTGTGGATGGGAGGAACTGGAAGGAAGAGTGTAAGGTCATTAATAGCTTGGCCCCTTGGGGCAAGAGGAAAAGAGTCAGAATTTCCGGGGAGCAGCAGAACTGGGGAATCAGTACTGGACATTGCCAGACCCAGGCACTTCTAACGAGGATTGAAGGAACCTGCAGAGGATTGCCCACTTTTTCCATTACCCCCATACCTATAATACACATCTATTATTTATTTTTTGCTGTCAAACACAGAAGCATTAAATCTACTTACCTAATGTAGACTTATTCTTGCTGACAAGCCAACAGTGATACCCAAAGAGAGAAGACAGACTGACAGAAAACATAGCTGCAGCAAAGAATAAAAACATGATGTGGAACTTGGCTTGAGTATCAGGAAGGTCATTCTAAACATAAAAAAAAATTATGCCGTTAGAATTGGGGAAATAGCTGTTTAATTTGATTATTAATAATCTTCTATTCAGCCAAATCAAATTCAGTGCAGACACAAACGTACCACACAACAAGAGTCTGAATAAATGAATTATACCCCTTCTATGTACAGACGGCCATGCAATTAGGTTGTTGACAGCATCCAAGTTAAAGAAATGGGCTCTTTCTTAATAAAGTATAAATACTGACAACAAGAATCTGAAATTTGGATCTGAACTTTGAAGTGTCTTTTAGTGAAGAACAACTTATCTTCACAAAAATTGTCCTGTTTAGCCTTTTCAGAATACTTATATTATAGCATAAATATTGCAAATCTAAGAGGGTAATATCCTAAGTTGTGAACCCAGATAATCATAATTAAAATACTAGAAAACTTCTCTGAAGCTTTTTCATAGCATAGCATTAAAGGAAGTTAACAAAACTTATCTATCTATAATATAAATTCCCTTGTAAAATGTTTTCTAAATAATAGCATACTTGTTCTACGCAGCTTCAAAATAATAAAGAAGTAAGTAAAATTTCATGAACTATGACAGAAAAAAATAGAGGGCTATGATTATTAGCAAAACTTTTGTACCTCAGTTAGGAGATACTAGATTACAATGTAATGTCTCGGAATTTTAGACTTCTCGCACAGTGGTAACTTCACACGCTTAAATACAGTATGTAGGTTAGGGTACTTACTGTCCAAAACTTGATAAAATACTGTAAATCCGTTGCAGCAATGAAAAGGCAATACAGTAGCGAGTAAGCCAAGAAGAGAAGAAAAAATTTGTAATTGGAGAATCCTACACAGTTGTTCACCCTGATAACAAAAAAAAGTAAAAGTAAAAATGGAATGTAATGAAAGTTATTTTCTTTGCTTTCATCCAATTTAAAATTAAACTTATTTACTCTAAAAAAGTTAATATCAGCATGTAAAGCAAGTTTTGCCTCCTACCTCTGGTGTCTCAAGCTACTGAAATGTATTTAGCTTCAACTCCCAGATTAGTGCAGTAATTCTAAGCAAAAACAAAACCAGAACACTACCACCACCACCACAAAAAACCCAAAGAACTTTACCAGGTAATAATACCACTTTCAACAGCTTACTGAAATTGAATTTTCACTTATGGTATGAAATCTGTTCCCAGCACATCTGATGTAAATGTGACTGCAGTTACAGCTACTTTTTTAGTTTGTAGGTAAGTTTAAGTATCCATGTTTTACCATTAGGCATACTGCACATAACAGCTGGGACAGTTACAAGCCAAGAATTTGAATCTCGACTGAATTTTGTGAGTCTCATTTAATCCACATCCTCCTTCATTAATCATACTACATACTAAAACTTCTTAGTAAGATTCTCAAACGTAAGAGTATTCATAGGAGATTCCTAAAAATATTTACATTTATGTAAAATAATGAGAGAAATACCACTGTTGAATAAACAGAAAACATTCCATCTCAGTGACAACATGACAGCAAATAAAAGAGATTAGGAACATGTAAATACACATCCAAATGTTAAATAGGTCTCATTTTATCATTTTTATTTATGGGCTTCAAGTTCACCCGTTTCCCATTTTTAAAGAATTTATACATGATAATGAGCAACTAGTATACACTATGATCAGAGAGACATGATGAGGGTACCATAGCAGCTTCCCATTAGAGGCAATATATTAAGTATTATGAATTTTAGAGCTCTACTAAACATGTAATGATATTACATTAACCAAATGAAAAATATTGGAGTGCTGCCCATGGACAGTTTATTGGTAAACAGCTTCCTCTTTCTTTTATTTGGTTGCATTAAGAAGCTTACCAAAGTTATCAGTGCACTGCTAACTTTGACATAACTCTCCATATGAGTGAAAAAAATTCCATATACCTTCTTTAACTAATTGCTATTGCTGTCAGAAAGATCAGCTAATTAAGAGAAGACTACATCCATGAAAGCACTTGTATGTTGAAAAATAATTCTCAAAAAATAAGAAGGTGTGGCGAGTCTCAACTTCAGCTTCTAGAAGTGCAGGACAAGTTATTGCAACTATTCTCTTCTTTAGGGAGACAGTGATGGTAATGGCAGGATACACGGTAATCAGAATAGGGTAAAATCTTAAAATACCAAATAAACTTTCACTGTACACTACTGGTATCCATCCTCAGGGTGGACAGGCGGTTTCTTCATTTTGTTACTGGTTTTGTTTTTACAAAACATGCCATCTTGGCTAAATATTAAATTTAGCATCGCCATTTAAACATGCAGCAATAGCTATGCATCTGTATTAACTACAGTTAAGAAGGACTCACAACAGATTGTTCTAATTAAAAAACCCCAGAAGACATGTTTCTAAGCTCATTATGATTCTTATTGGAAAGTAAATTTACAATTCTCCACAGTGAAGTGTTCTTTTTCATTAAATATGTCAAAGTAAGCAATTCCATGATAAACTGCAAGCAATTCAGATTCAAGGTTTCTATGATAACCCCATTTTCCTGTCATGGTATTTATTTTAGGACCATTTTTACATTGTTTAGTGTAAGAAAAAAAAAAAATCAGTGTTGTTTCCCAAAGCCCCAGAAATTTCTTGAATCAAAGACAGATTTCTTACTTCTTGTTCTTTTGCACTAGTGCATATGGTACACGCATTAAAATAAACTTTCATGAATTATTCTGCTCCCTTCAATTTTGACAAAGCCCCAGAGTGAGGAGTTCTTACTGGAAGAGAACAGTTCATCAGAAGACTGAAGAGAAAGTAAACACCAAGGTTTTGTAACTGTACTATTTGAACATGTAGTATCAAATCATAAAACCCAAAAATGGTGGTTAGATTTGAACGTTCCTCTAACGTTTTTGAGGAAGAGTAAAACTGATATATGTACCCACAACTGGCTAAATAATGGTGTGTTATTGCAGTGAAACATTCATACAGAAGAACAGTCCATGTTAACAATTTGGGTTACAGATAACATTTAAAACACTTAATTTTGAAGTATAAAAAGAAGAGATATCCTTTCTGTCTCAAGAGTCAGTTTACTGAAAATGCCAGGCAAAGAAATAACTTAGGAGGCACTGAAGGTGATGCAACTCAGTTAACAAAAAGCATCACAGAATTAAGGAGACGCTAAATTCTTTTCAGATGACTCAAAAGACACAGGAGAGATGTTTCAAATGATTCCTAAGGCGTTCCTATTGCACCTTGTTAGTATTAGAGTCGTTATATACAGATTATATACATTTTGGTGATGCCTCAAGCCATCGCGTTCCTGCCTGCAGCTCCATCTATATATAGCATGAGTAGCAGCAGCATTAGCATAGAAAATCACTAATGTTTTTATTTCTGCATCACTTAAACCTTTTAGAGTAGTTAGAGGGCCATTAACATTAAATATTTCCGTTTATCACAGCAATTCCATTAGCGCAGGAGTGATAGCCAAAATAAAGCCTCCCAAAAAGCAGAAGACAGCTGCTTACCTAGGACACGATTACCATCTTACTACCTCTGCCTTCCAAATGCTTCATCTTACTTTCCCTAGGTTATTTTTACCTGTCCTCTCTCCAGAAATCCTTCTCCTAGCAGAATATTAAAACAGTAATTCCTGTTTCCCTGGTCTCCCTAAGCATCACATGGGTTCTTTCCCACCAAACTTGCTCCCACCAAAAAATCCCAACACGAAAAGCAAAGCAGGACCTAATGATGTTTTCGGGGGGGCTAAAACCCACTCATTATACTGATTTGCACCCTTGCTTTTGTTGGCAAAATAGCCATATGCTATTTCCCAAAGAACCCTTGAACAGGGGTCTTTAAAGGAAACTATAAAGCTTGATCAGCATCTGTGTGATATTTCAAAACCCTCTTGTCATTTCCACGTAGTTGTTTTTTTTCAGGGTGAGCAAGGAACTGCGGACATCCACTCAAATTAGGAAAAATAAAGCAAGACAATACCTATTTTTCAGGTGCATTTCTGTTACTTGGAGTAAAAAAGGAACAATTCTCCATCAAGAAGCGTTACATGTCTTTCAAGTACCTTCTCCATTTCTGTTTTTTCTTTTTGCACCCATTGCTTATTAGATTAAAAACAATGAGCAATGTAAATACTCTCTCAAACTGGGTACGTTTATGTTCTTTGGATACAAAGAGTCTGCAAACGGGTAAGTAAGCAAATGCTACTCAGTGGAAAATGGAGTTTATTTTTCTAGAAGTCTATGCCCTAGTAAAATACCACTTCACTGCCCCTTTACACAACACTTAAGTGCTCAGTTTATGATTTACTACTTGATGCAATGGATTTTTATTCTGAAACTGAAGTTTACATGAAGAACATTTTCACATACTATCCTAAAGCAGGACAACTCAAAAAATCCCAAATAGACCATAAAGCTTATGAGAAGTGTGCAAAATACTGAATAATAATAGTAATATTGAGACTTTTCACTGATATTTTGTCAGGAATAGCCTGACAGCTATTTTTCTTATAGCTTTCTACAAGACAGCTGTCTTGTAGAAAGCTATAAGAAGGCTGAAAAAAGGAAACAGCCTTTTTTCTTATAAGAAATTTTTCCATGTTCAACAGTTTTATCTGTTTGTGTTTTGCTTTTTTGTTTGTTTGTTTAAGAAGCACACTACTAACACTAAGCATCATCAAGTTTCACATGCTGATATCCCTACAGCAAAAAAAATATGTATGAAATAACCTTACCCTATATTGTTAAATATTTCTTTCGATTGTATCTACCATGCAGCTGCAAAATAAGGGGAGATTCTTAAATCACACTGCATTACGTCAGAGGCTGTAGTCAGGAGGAGCCCAGGACCCCTTCCTCCCCAAGGACAGTCTCTCCTTTGCTCAGGAATTTGATTTAAGAAGGTCAAACCAGCTCCTTAGAACCATCTACCATTCAGTTTGTCCAACGCAGGAGATTCTTCTTTTCTGATCGGTTTCATGTGGTGAAGAACTGCCATCTACCACTCAATCCTCTTGACTTGGACCTTACTAAACAATTATCTTTAATTATTTCCATGAGATACCTGCCAAACTGACATAAAATTAATTACACATCCTGTCTACCCACTGGTTCCAAGGGCTGCTGAGAAAAGACAGGAAAACAAAACCACTGTGCAGGCTGACACGGCAGCAAAAGGAGGGAGGGTAGGAGGGAGAAGGGAGAAAAAATGAAAGAAAACAAAGAACTCATAAAAGTAAAAGAGCTAACTTGCTGTTTCCAGCAAGCCCACTCAAGCCGTCCTGGGAGCTTCAGGAAGGGGAACAAGGCACAGCCCTTCCCTTTGTTTTTTAACCTAGGGTAGTAATTAATCACTCAATGCACCTAAGCCACAGTAATACTCAAAGGCCATGAAGAAAATATGCAATTCTTAAAAGAAGTTTTCTTACTGACCAGAAGTCTACCTCATCCTAACTGTAAAAACATGGAGTTACCCAACTCAAAGGTCTAAGAAAAATGATATATGAACTTCTTTCCACATCTCACAACTAGGAACGAGGACATAGGGTGTAACTCCAATGGTCCTGCAAGACCAGTAACTTCACATAAGCATGTAACTCTAGGAATAGTGAAGCATCACCTTCATAACAGGCCCCTCGAGTTTATTCTACCAAATCAGAAAGTAAGAAAAGAAAGCCAATACTACACTCACCAAGGGCAATGATGATCCATTTTCAAAATGCATCTTAAAAAACCCAACAGAATTCCAAGCATCGCAAAAGGCAAAAGAAAAACAAAAGTCAGAAGCACAGTTACGTGTCAGATTTAAATTATTCACATACAGATTAAGAATTACCCATATGTACTATTGGTTACCTAATCTATTTAAGAAAGATGTCTATTTAAATTCACATAATACAGTTTACCTACAAGTAAACTGCAGGTAACCCAAACTCAAAACGCTTGTTCTGTCAAGAGCTTAGTGATTTAAGAAAACGCAATCCATAACTTCAGCTTTAGGATCTGGTCCTCATTCTGAATAGGTTTTTCAACTATTGTTTATTCTCTGACAGAGCCTTAGAAACTGGGCTAATTCAATTATTATCTTAGTGATACAAGTAAATATATCTCCAAGTACATGATTTGCTTTTACAGAAATATATACAGATGCACACGAGGTTTTTAAGAACTTACCTTGTATGAAAAATCCCAAACATTTTTGCAATACATCACTCTCCATTAATAAAACATGCACAAGAAAATCAGATATAATTGAAGCAAGTGAATTTTGACAAGGTATTCTGCAAAATGTATTAATTAATGGCATTTCTGCAAACTTCACTCACATTTCATAGGATAACACAGGTCACCCTTTTTCTCCACTCTGCTTAGACACAAGAATGTTCCTATATTACACTGCAACCACCACTCCATACAATACAACCAAGATCCTCTTTCTGCCTCAACTCAGTTACTCCTTCAGTGCCTCTGCTGTTTTGCTGGACAAAATGGAAAGTCTTCTCTGCCTCACAATCATGTTGGAAGGTTTGATGTATTGTCAGCTGAAGAGTATTTGGAACAGCCTTAAAGCTAAGAATAAATCAACCTTTGAGGAAGCCCCTTCTCTTAAAGTTAGAAATTTAAACCACTGGGGGCAAAAGTGGAGAAACACACAGACATCCAAGCTAACTGGAGAAAGGTCAGAGAGAAGAACAGCCAAAAGAAAGATTAAATTAGAAAGCAATTAGACTGCTGGGGAATATGTAGGTGAATTTCCTTTTATATTAAACAAACAAAAACTTTATTTTATGACTTCAGTTAGAAATGGGGGATGCTTGGTCAATTCTTTCTTTAACTAAAAATAACCTGCAAGTTATCCAATGAAAAATAGGATATTAAGTTTATTACCTCGGAAGAGATGTAAGTGACATCATGATTAGATTGAGATGGGTAGTGATCTTTATTCAGATTCTAACAAAAGAAGCAAATTTTTGTTTATCAGCTATTTTTGGTTACATTCTTAAGGAAAGTTCTTTATTAATATTCATAATTTTTAACCATTATGTAAAGAATGTATAAGACCATGTAATCCATGTTGGCATCAAGAAAGCCATCAAATGAATTAGAGTAAGTAAGTTACAGACTTCCTTAGAAATAAGTAAATAAAAACTAAATCTGAAAAAAATCTAAGGGGGGGAACAAAAAAAAGCTTATCTGCCAAAACATTAAACCTGAAAAATCTACGCATAAAAAAATAAAAGCTTCTGTGTCAAGAAAAAAATCCATTAATTCAGAAAACCACTAATGTAAAATATTTTCTTACTTGTCGCATACAGAACAGTGATGGCAACGATCTGGTTTTACAAGACGGCATCTGTCACAGTATCTGATTGCTAAAGAAAAAAGTTCCAAGATTAGATCTCAATGTACAGTTACATATTTTGATTACTGAAGTCTGCGCAAAAGTAAATACTAGCAGCTCATCCCAGCAGAACGCCTGGAAAACATTTCAGCATGATCAGAAGCAGTTGCAAATACTGAAGCATTTTTTAAGTATTTGCAATGCTGAATCTAGCAGAGTGAACCCAAAAAGCTCAGTTTTTGCAATCTCTGCTAGTCATGCTAATCAGGGTTTTTTCTTCCAAACCCCTCAGCTCTGCAAAACAACCAATGAACCAACAAAACTCACATAACCCTCACTAGAATGGAAAACCTTTAAAAACTGTTCAACAATGTAGCTATTTTAAGCTATTATTCTAACAGCTTTAATTTACTATATGAGATTATCTCTTGGATTTGCTTAGCTAGCCAGCATTCACAAACTTACAATATCAGCAGGTTAAGATTAACTCTTAATTTGGAAGAACTTTTGTTCTTGCAACTGAACAACCAGCAAGTAAAACAGTAACAGTTTCTTACTATGATCTATCTAGCTATACATGACATACAGACAGTGATTAATTTTTATTTTTTTTAAACCTATGAAAGAAGAAATCTATGCAGTTAAAGACGGCTACAGCCTCTTCTGCAGTTTGTTAGTATTACAAGCTACTTGTTAATGTCAGTTTGCAAACATTTAGCAAGGCATTGTCAATCCACTTTAAAATCCTAATTTGTATGCAGCAATTTACTTTCCAACAATCTTCCCACTGAATAAATGTAGCTGCCTAAAGCTACATTAAAGTTAAGTTCTTGGGTCACTTTGTTATTTTATGAAGTATGAAAAGCAGTTCTTCCCCACAATCCAAACCCTTGAATTTTTTTTTTTTTTTTAATTAGTTTAGGTAGTACATCAAGACACCTGCCTTCGGTGGTCTCCTGAACACCTATTTACCTCCAGACATTGTCCGTGTATAGATAGGAAGATCCTTGGCTGCCCGTCTTAAGACTTCTTGCTGGGATTCACCTCTAGGTTCCCTCTCTAGGGATTCCTTGTCCGAATATGATAGATGAAACTGGAATAATTTTTAAAATCAAAGATATGTTAGCAAATTTCAAGTTAAGTACGTATCTGTAGAGATGTAAAAAGAAATAAATATTCATTATATAAAGATGGATTAGCAGCACATACAAGGTATTACAGCAAATAACCCAGTGTTCCTAAGACCACTAATTTAGTTTAGGACAACTGAGGAAAAAATTAAAATTATTTCTGATTTGGTATTGATGCAATGCTGAACGCTTCCAGAAGCAACACTCTTCAAAAGGAGGATCAAGAGCTTACCACTCTCTCGAAAGGTCCGTTAATTCATTTCTGTAATACTAAATATTAGCCAGTGAATATAAGCCAGGGATGTCAGCCTTTAACTGAAAGAAAATATGCTACTAGTAATAGCAGAAAAGATAGCTTTATTTCTCTTTTGGTGTCTGGCATCTTCCCTTTTATTCTTTGCCTCTGGAGAGTTGCTGTTCTCTTCATGCAGGTGTTAGGATGTGGTTTTACTTCAGAGGCTGGCTGAGAGGAGGAAGAGATGGGTGTCCTGTATGACAGAATAACCACATCTTATCACCTTCCTGCATAAAAGGACAACTTCTGTCACTGCCTAAAATGGCAATGACAAACATTGCTCTAGTAAGAGCTGAGAGGGTAAAAATTACTGAAACAGATGCATGGCATACATGAAGTAGTCCAAATTTCTTATACTCTAAAGTCCTCTGCAACACAGCAACAGTCAGCTTTGTTGCTGTAGCTTCTAGAAATGGGCAGATGCCAAAGTCTTTGCTATCTCTATCAGAGAAATGGGATACAAAATCACCTCTGAAAAGAAGTTCGTATTTGGCAGGAAGAGTGGCTGTCTGTAACCTGTACCAGAAATAGAAGCCTTCTGCATAGCATTTATGTCTACAGAAAGGCTAGTCATGATGATAATATTAAATTTTTTCCTAAATGAAAGTGACCCATGTAAAACTAAGAAAACAGACAGAAACACAGTCAGGAACCTCTTCTCACCTCCATAGAGAAGGCACCACTCCACCTCCCTGACAAAGTTCACAATCTTCCAGCAGAAGCTGGACGTTCACTGTTTAGCATGAGTTTCTCAGGTCACCTTTCATTTTTCCCTAGTAAGAATACATTCTTGCCAACACCTAAATTGATTTATACTGGAATACACAGGATTTCTCACTGCAGAAACTTGGTTCAGAATACTTTTTTTTTTTTTAATGCTTCCTGTTTGAAGCACATAAAGCTATCGCTCCATCATTTTATATTGGTTCTCAGAGTAGTCCTAAGTCTACAAAACCTTCCTGCCTGGGAAAGCATCTTCGTGCTGGTACACACAGGTACAGAATGGCACACACTAAAGTGAAATCTCTCAAAGTATCTTAAAGAGAAACTGCAGCCAGATGACTCCTTTGCAACAGACCCTCAACTACAGAAGTTCTCCGCTACTACTGGGAGAAGTTCCCAACTCACAAGCTCTCACAAGAGAGAAGAAAGAAAATCATATATGCAAAAGCTTTACAAAGCATATGGGCACAGCTGTAGTTAGGGTAGCACAGTATTGCTTGAGTTTGAAGTGTTTCTCTGGACAATTATTTCCAATATGAGAGGGATGGGGATAACACATTGAACTTCAGAAGAAAAATGTCAGATTAGCAATATTTTAAATTCCAAGCCACAGTACCAGAACTTTAGTGCTTTTTATACACGTAAAAAGTTGAAATAAACTTAAAAATAAATATACAGGCTGTGCGGTTTGCACCAGCTCCAGTATTCATGAAAACAAAACCCAAAAGCTTTCTCTGTTTTTCAGTCTTCAAACAAATATTTGCTATAGTTGATAAGTCAGTTCAGTTAAGTTGAAAATGCATCCTTTTACATTTACAGACTTCATCCCAGAAACTGGAAGCCAAGCAGTAACTTAACATTACAAATACCCTAATTAAATTTTAAAAATACTGCTCTAGTAGATTAGGAAAAAGACATGGAACAACAAAAGATGTCACTTACTGCCAGCAACATTGTGTAAATTCAAAGAACACAGAAAAACCACACATTGCTTTCTATTACCCAACTTCAGTACTTTTAATATCCCATTTGAAGTTCTCCGGTAGCATTGTATGGTGGCTTTGGAATCCCACTATAATTATTAAGGATTTACCAAAATGTTTTTAGAGTCTTTTATTGGCATCAGCCCAGTGATTTGAAAACCCTTCTGATTACCACCACAGTCCCCAAATATATGCATGTATTTTGCTATGTAATTACCAAATGAAATAGTTTCTTAATCTATTTTCCTCCTCTCCGCCCCAAACTGTAGTAAAGACTGCAGTGTAAAATTCAAGGAAGATGCCAATTACTTTGAATTATCTCGTTTCCACAATTACATATCTTATTAGTGAATGAAAACTACTCGGACAAGAACCTCCACACAATAGACAGTAGAAATCACAAGCTATTTATTTTGTGTTGGCACGGTAGTTACAGGGGCTAGAGTTATGAGTCCATGATGAAATAAGTATTGGCTTTGTGCATACTTCAAACTCCAAAGCGGCCATAGCATGAATCCTCTTGACCTCAGAGGTTGTGTGACATGGCACCTACTGAGGACTATGGGGTTTCTGTACAAAGACAGGATGGTAAGAGGCCAAAAAGTTGCGCTGGTTGTACCGAACTGCATACGGAGGATTTTCATGAAAGCTATTGACAGTTTTCTCTTTCTTTTTTAATGTTAAAAAGAATGTGAAACTAAAATAATAAAAAAACCCCAATGCTGAACTAAAAGCAATTCTCTTGAAGCTACATCATGTTGAACATGGTTTGTATCTTAATATTCTCCGAGACAACTGGATCTTTCGTCTTTAACACTTCTGTGCTAGCTGAATTTAAGATTTGGGGTATATATTTACCTCAGACCTCTTTTCCATGCAGCTGTTCTATACTAGGTCCCTTCCTGCTTAACCAGCCATGGCTTCCCAGCATCAGCTTACCTGTTGCACGCTCACGCCACAACCCCCAAGCTCCTTCATACCAAAACAGATGGGGAAGAAGCTTTTATTTAGAGGACAACAGACAGATGCTGACAGGCAATATAAGCCTTAAACACATGAAAATACATTTTTTGCCCACATAGAAGTATTATATTCCCATGAAAGATTTAAGCTGCTAGTTCAAATAACGTATTTTTCAAGTGGAGAGGTTTTTTTCTTCTTAATATCATAAATATTATCTAATTTTAAAAATCTATTAAAAAACCTTTAAAACTTAGAGGTGTAATTTTTTTTGTCTTGTTCATTACGCTGTTTGCAATCTGATATACTTCTATTAAGAAGCTGTAACTACCATCTGTATTTTTCTACACAGTTTAAAACTACATGAGATCAGAGTCTAAGTTATTCAAATACTACAAAAGCAAGCATTTGACTAGGCTATTTCAGAAACAAAAGTTAAGTTTATCTTACTTCTTTTGAAGGATTCATTGGTAGCGTAAAGATTGTTTTCCAATATGACCAGACGAACAGCATGAAAAATATGTGGTAAGCAACCAGGCACACAACTAAAATCAAAAAGGGACAGAATTAATACAAACAGACCAGTGATATTATAGTACTTACAAACAGATGCTGTACATATCACAGATAGTTACTCTAACAGATGTAAATACATAAGCTCTGCAAAAGCTTTGCAACAAAAATATTGCACTTGCAACTTTACATGAGACAATACAGACTGTGTGGGGAAAGTCACGATACACTTACAGAAGTTCCAGGGGAATGGTTAATAGCTTATTGGAGCCCCATAATTATTTAGCAAGCACTCTTCCTTTACGCATTTGTTAAATCCTATTTTAACTAATGCGTCTCTGCTTTTTAGCTTTATAAACCACGTAGGGAGACTGCTAGCCATGCAAAAAAACCCCCAAAACCAAAAAAACCCCAAAACCGCCAAAAGGGAGTATAGCTACCTAAACGACAACTAGAGTGAGGGGAGTCTTTGAGTGGATATGCATATGATACTGGAACAGTAACCATAACCAGTTAATTTGTTTTGCTAGATTTTTAGGAGGGAGGACAGCAGCGTAGTTTTTAAAGACCTGCAGGTTCTTTAAATTCAAATGTTCATTCACTACTTCATATTCTTCACAGACAGTGATTTATTCTTAGATTTTTTTAAGAGATGTCAGTCAACATTTACTATGCTGAGTTGTTTTACTAGAATACAGAAGGTAACATTAACTGCTAAGAGCCTGCCAGGGATTGATAGGTGTTTCCATGTAAAAGCTCTCACTGTACCAAGCAATTCACTACAGTAAATAGTAAATCCAAAACTTGTATCCTCTGATTAACTTGCTCTAATGCACAAGAAAGAGTATTTCCTTAGATTCTTCGTCCTTGGGCAGAGAAGAGGCAAATAAAGGACAGCAACAGTGAAAAATATTACTTCCCTGCTGTACAGATGAACTCAGATCATACAGAGCTCAGGGTTATATGGAAGCTACACGGTCAAATATTCTTTATACAACTCTATAAATTTATAAGACTGTTAAAAAAATCATAAAGGGAAATGTGTACTTTCACTAAACAATCTGAAGTATTGCCCTCGTACGGTTAGCCTATGTTTTTATATATGTAGTGCTATTCTATGCTAGAGAAGTTTCCATAACACATGCATGATGGTGTGCATAAATGCAGGAACAGTAGCCCAGCATGTTCTTCTTTTTTGTAATTTTGCCTCAAAAGTAACGCTGCATAAATGTTTCTGGTGTTGAAGTTTGTTTACTCAAAAAAAAAAGCAGCAACACAGTAAATATTTATCCTTATTCACTAGACAGTTAAAAAAATAAACAAAAGCTAGCAAAACCTGGAGAGCGACACTGTACTAAGCTTTTGGGATGATGGGGGAAAAGAGCCATATGGCATGTCTATAAACTGAAAAAAAATCTCATCAGTATAAGTAAGTGACAGAACTGGACTCCACTTCAAACACAATATCCGAGATTACACTAAGGGACCATCTTGCTATTGCACAAGCATCTGTCAGGAACAGTCCACATTTTCATCCGAACATTTCTATCAACGCTAAAAAAAACTGATCTACTCTAACAAAATCATTATTATCTTTTAAACAACAGTATATTCATGGCATAAAGTGAGGGCAAGGTAAGGCAAGTTACATCAGTTCTGTACACTATGCGTTTACTAATCTGCATCTATGTTTTATTGTTGTGAGAATAACAGTAACTGTGATTGTTAAGAAAATTCCTTTTTCATACATTAAAAAAAGAGACTACTGGAGGGAGACAAAATTTTAGCCTAAAGACATTACCCCATGTTTCCCCTTTAAAGTCTGCACAAGACTGAAGCTCTTCTTGTTTGCTCTTGCACCTCAGTTCTCCAACCTGGCCCAGGTCCTGACCGGTCACCTCTCCCAGGTTACCTACCCACCACTTTCCCTGCACTGCAATGGAGACCCTGGGCTACCCAGCAGCTCCACTGGGTCTGTGGGAATTGAGAGTCCAACGTAAGAACCTCAATTCCCTTGAGACAGAAAAAGAAGAGCTGTCCGCAGCTCCCTGGGCAGAAGTCCTCCTATTTTATACTTTTTCTGGAAAAAAACCCCAGCCAAAAAAATCCTACAAAAAAACCCTACCCCAAAACCTAAAAGCCCAAAACAAATGGTGTATCCCTTGCTTGAAGGCAACCCATTTACAAATAGCTAGAGTTGCCTGGAAATATGCAGCAACCTGTAATACGGCTGAGCAACATTTGCCCAGTTTTCAGCCCTGAAAACACTTAGGGGAGAAGTACAGCCAGGGTAAATGTCTCCTGAGTGACTGAAGCCCACCAAGGCTCTGAGCAGCTAAAAATAAGGAAATTATTTTCCCCAGTGCATTTTGCTGGTAATTCTAATTTGCTTTGTGAGCAGGTAATTCTAATTTGCTTTGTGAGCAATGCCTAACACCACACTGGTCTCCGACATTCTCTCTCTCTCTCTCTCTCTCTCTGGAGCAGCAAGAAACTGGAATTATTTCAAAGTTTGCAGGTGCTGAAGTTTGCAGATATGCTTATGCACTCATATGGGGAGCAGGGGAAACATCACTAAACTGAAAAAAGTTTTTCAAGGAAATGTTTCTTGATTGGCAAACACTTGTTCTAAGTGAGGGACTCTCAAATGACTTAGTCAAACCTGCTGGAATTACACAAATGTAAAAAGCATATAGCTTGTCTCCTACCCTCCACCCCCCTTCTCCAAAAGCTCCACAGCCCCACACTTTACACTTCCACGTTGTGCTGTAGTATTAAAATAGCATCTGGAAAAGCAATCTAAACATGCTACAGCCTCAGGGTAGGAACTCTAATAACAGCTAATCAGGCAGTTTTATTATCTTCTGAAAAGGTTACGTATCTGAAGGATATTGTTTATTCAAAGACACTGGCTAAAATGAAAGTGCAGAAAAAATTCACCTCCCATTTAAGTATGCTGCACTCTGCACAAACACCTTGCTCATCTTTAGAAGTCTTGGTTTTAAAAGAGCTTTCCTTGTTATGAATAGAATTTTTTAAAAGCAGAATATAAGGATTATTTTAGTTGGCACTTCAGAAAGCCAGTAAAAAGAGTAAAAAGTTCTAATTTTTCTCATCTCTATTTGGAATGGCTAAAGCAATATTCAGGAACAGCAGGATAATAAAAGGAGCTGAGGAACACAAAAAAATACACTTATTTAAAACAGATTAGATCTGTATCTCAATTCTACTAGTAAACTACTATGCTACCCTGATATATGAATTCCACTTATAAACAGCTAAAAAAAAATCTTACCTTTTTCTCCAATATTTGTCATTGTCACTGAAAAATGAGAAAAAAAGAAAGAGTAAAAATTATATTTAAATAGCAAATGATGTAACTGAGTAGTTTAAACTTTTGTTTTTCAACCAAAGAGGGAAGAGTACTTGTCAAACAATACGAGCTTAAGACCACACACTATCAAGCTTTTATGGTGTAGCCATGTACATTCACCACAAGAATAGGTAAACAAAACCAATGCCAGCGGCTTATAAGGTTTCCTGGCTCCCACTCCCAGGCTCAGTTCCATAGCACCTCCCTCCATCTGAAGTTACCCCAGAAAAGCCATCTCTGAAGAACAGTTATTCTTCAGAACTGTGGTCTTCAGGTTTTGTTGTTTACATATGTTCTGTTCTTGAGGTGGAGGTGTCAGAACCCAGAACTGGTTTTGCCAGTGATACTCAGTGATAACTTAGATCTTAACAAGGCATAAAAATCAAAAGTAGACAGAAGTTGCATTTCCTTTAAGAAATTGCCCACAGATTACAGGATTTGGGGATAGTAAGTGAGTGAGAAAGGCACAAGTATGGCAGGCATGGAGTGGAGTACACAGGTATCATGTATCAGTCACTGCATTTATGAAAAAGAATAAATCTTTTTCTTACACCTATATTCCACTCCCGGTCATATTATTAAAAAAAACGCCAAACCCACAACAGATATCTCAGAGAGAGAACAGAAACTCCCAAGTGATCAAAAACCTCATGGTGCTCTTCCCCTTCCACCCAAACCACTCCACCACACAGTCACCCATCCTGATTAAGCAGTCTACAAACTGTAGTACAGTGGCACCTACAAGTGCAAGCGAGAGGACAGTAGCTATACGGACCTCATCTGCTTTTGTTTTCCTAACAAAAATGGCTGCTCGAGGCCATTTATCAAACAGCAGGCACAAGGCAACTCCTACTGAAAGGCCAACCAGCCATGCCATCCTACTTTGGCATATTAAACTTAGGCTTGTTGATAGAGTAAAAGTCACTATTTAAATATATCTTGCACAATGCAGGGATCTACTGTGGGACCAGTGCTGCTCAACACCTTAAGTATTGCTCTGGAAGAGTGAACACTCATTAAGTTTACAGATGACACCCCCCTGGGGACACCAGATGATATGTTCGTGTGCAAGATGGCCATCCAGAGAGACCCAGACAGGCTGGAGGAATGGGCCAACAGGACCCTTCTGAAATTCACTGAGGGCAAAGGCAAAGTCCTGCACCTGTAAAGAAATACCCTCCTGCAGCGATACAGCCTGGGGACAGCTGGGCTGGAGCAGCTCTGTGGAAGAGGCCGTGGGGGTGCTGGTGGGCAGCGAGCTGAACGTGAGCCAGCAGCACTCGGGCAGCAGAGAGGCCACCAGCCTCCTGGGCTGTGTTAGCAGGGGCACAGCCAGCTGGTCAAAGGAAGGGATTATCCCCTTCTATGCAGCACTCAGATCACATCCAGAACATTGCCCCCAGCTTTGGGCCCCCCAATACAACAAACATGCAAGTCCAGGGGAGAGCGACCAAGCTGGTAGGGACTGGATCACTCACCCTCTGAGCAGAAGCTGCACGGCCAAGGCTTGTGCAGCCTGGAGAAGACACAACTTTGGGGGGACCTAATGGCAGCCCACCAGGACCTCCAGGGAGGTATCGAGGAAGTGCAGCTGGGCTCTTCATAATGGTGCAGGGTGGGAAGACAAGAGCCAGTAGGCATAAGTTGAAATGAGAGGATCGGATTTGATACAAGGAAAAACTTTTCCACCATGAGAACAGTCCACCAGTGGAGCAAGTTGCCCAAAGAGGTTGTGCAGTCTCCGCCTCTGGAGCTTTTCAAGACTCAATCAGATAAACCCCTGAAAAACCTGGCCTGATCTTACACCAAACCCTGCTTTGATTAGGTTGCCCTAGATGAGCTGAGATCCCCTCAAACATTAATTACTCCACAATTCTGTAATTATAAAATAGGTCTATTAAAACGGGTATTTGCCTATATTTCTACCAAAATGAGCATCTACTTTACCTGAAGGAAAACAGTAAATAACCATGTTTATAAAGTTCTTCACAAAAATCAGAAGACACTACAGAAGTTGCATAAGCCATTATAAAGAAAACTCTATTCTGCCCTCAGTTTTCTAGTTCAGCTAAAAGAAATCTTTAGAGCTTGATAAGCTAAATATCCATCTAGACATCTGCTAGAAAGAAGCTGAGGAATCATGTATACACGTTTGACTCTGAGGAGCAGAGATGCTGCAGTACAATAATGCAGAAGAATTTTAAAATTGTAAGTAAACAGTCATCCACCAGAAAAAAACAAGACATCTTTAGAGTCAACGTGTAATTTAAAAGTGCTGGAGCTCTCAGATTAGGACAAACCGGCCATTACACAAATGCTGATTTTCTTTCTCCACTTGGTATAGTCAGCAAGGTGCGCAGAAATTTGCCAGTCTTCTTGGAATAACTACTCTCTGCTAATTAAAAAGCCGTAGCCAAGCATACATTGCAGATTTACCAGTTTCAAACTAAAATCTACTTAACCAACTTTTCACAATGATTTGTGGTCTTTTTCTCTCCTAACAAGGGAAAGGCAGAGACCATGTTCTCTGCCATGTTCACTTGCTGTGAAAGCAGTTGTCATCTTTTTTTCCCCCCTTAACCTTGATAAAATGTATTAATTAATGTGTTTGAGACCTATTTTCTGCCCCAACAACAATTTTTCCACACATCGGTGAGGGACCAATACAACTAATAAATCCAAATTTAATAATTTCTACCTGACTGCAAGTCTACAGCTTTTCAAAATCTCGCTCCACCTCCCAGATGAAATGCGCTCTTCAGAGTGCACCTGCTCAGCGGACAATCTTTTTAGCTTTTGCGGTATCTAGCTCGGAAGCCAAATATTCCTGACAGTCAGGAGCTGCAGACCACGAAGGCTAAAACATAAGTGCCCAAAGATGTCCAGTTAATCCCAGCAGGGTGAGAACCAGGGGGGTTTTTTTGATACATCTTGTAATTTTAATATCTTTTACCACCTGGTAAGACTCAGAGTTATTTCATACACTGCCGAGTTGCAACCACTGTAAGAGACCAAAGTAGAAGAGGCAGGTCTGAAGAGGGAAGCCAGTATCTTCAATCTTGCCATCTTTTTTCTCCACACTTACTGCAACTGGTGTTTACGAGGAGACTGGCCATGTTGCTTAACAAACATCCCCTCAGACAGTGACACAGAGGAATATGCAATACCTAATAACCTGCAGCTTTTCACAAGGTGAAGTATTACTCCTTCTGCTTATACCTTTTAAATCACCTTTGATGAAGGCTCCCTAAAGGAGGTATAATGTGTGGGAAAGTAACAGACAGGCATCTGCAGTACCACAAGACCTGGGAAGAAATAAAAGCGTTTTTTGTTTTGGTTGGGATTTTTTTTTGCACAAATGTGGCAGAATTGATCAGTGGGGCAGGGGGGGAAGCCCTTAGAAATCAAACTCCCTCTGAAATTTCTCTTAGAAATTTGTAGAATGACCATGATATAAGGACTTCTTAGGGTAACCACAAGATGCTTGTAATTCTAAAAATCACACTATTTAAGTGCATGGAAAATAATTTTATAACAAGAAAAAAACCCTCTAATTTTGGATCTGATCAAAGAAACGTTTGCTATTTTCCCCACCTTCTGAACAGCAGACATGAGATATTTCTTTAAATCAAATTTTATATTTTTCAGTAGATACAGTGATACGGCTTTGCTATATTATTCAATAGTACTTGATCATATAGTCTTCTGTGAATCATTTATGCCAGTCTTTTTGGCAGTTTTCTCATTTCTCTTCCAAAAGGTTATATTCACTGCTGGTAGTGCACAGAAAAGTAGGTCAGACTCTGCATTCTGTCATTAATAAGTATCAGCCTAAATGCTGCAAATTTACTTACTGGTAGTCAAATACCATACAAATAATAAGGGTAAATAGTACTTCTGTCTACAATGACTAAAACAAGCACCAAGGACACACCAATCCCAACCATTAAGCCATTTCTACAATTTGAGAGAAAACCAGGTAAAACCCTTTGAGAGAGGAACGGAATGATACTCCCGTATATTCAGAGACAGAGATAATTATAAAACCATGACCTGTCTTCAAGAAGTCATTAAAAAGTTGCAGCTCTCTTCACCTGAGAATACTGCAGGGGCCAATTTCATTAAGAATCAGCCTTCCACTGCTAAAGCATCAGGATGCCATTTACAGGTCAGTACTAGCAGGCTATCACATAATCAGAGCCTCTCTGTTTCATTACACAGCTTGCGGACGGTGCTCATCAGAATTGGGGATCAGGCTGGGACATACACAGGACTTCGGCCAACGTAGATGCCAATTTCCTGAGCCAGAAACATCGTTCCCTGCTCGTCATGAGCCACAGGCAGCCAGAAACAGGAACAGCACATTCAGTAGTCAATGCTGCTGAACAGCCTGTGCTTGCAAAAAACCAACAGCGACTGAGGACAGAAAGTTGTGTTACAAAAGACAGGAAAAACTCCAGGATGGAAAGGACACCTGGAGAAGCCTGGGGAGTTCATCCCACACTTGCTGGTAGTCTTCCTCACTGGGAAAAAAAAAAGGAATGCCGCCTTGGCAGGCAAAGAGGCACCACAGTATCTCAAGACTGCCTCCTACAACTCCATCACCAAATTAGTCTGCTAAGAAGAGAAGCCACGTTGCTAGGCACTTCGCACTGCCTGAGACCTTAATTCAGTGATAGAAATGGATTTTCCATTTCTTGAACTGTGGCTCATTTTCTCTGGAAATCTTTATTCTCACTGACCCATGCAAAAATTAAGTCGGCATCCGTCTCCATGTAGCTAGAGACATGGCAAGACACATTGCTATCACAAAACTCAAAAGGTTTTGGAAGATAAAATTCACATTAAAAATTTGCATTGGTTTTCTAACATTAAACTTTGCTTGACTTCTAAATCCAAAATCAAAGTTCCTGAACAGTAAATGTAATGGTTAGACAAAAAAAAAAAAA